TGCTTAAATTCTTTGGTAAGGTTACTATCAAATCCTACAGAAGAATTTAAGTAACAACAAATAAAGAAAAATTGCACCATCATGGTTCTTTATACCTTTATGCTTTTCCTGCCTTAACTGTAGGTCATGGGCCCTTCAGGAGGCACAACATCTGGAATTCTGTTCAGAGACCTCCTTGGATTCAGGGGCTCTTGGTCCTTCAAGTTTACTGATGTTTATGTTTTTTTAAATGAATTTTAAAATTAATACTTATTTTGTAGAATTCTGTCTCCTGGTCTAACATAATTAGAGAAGAAAATCAAGTTCTGGTTTTTTTTTTTTTGTATTCTTTGTTGTTTGTTTTTTTCTTTTTCCCTAAGTGTGCATCTACTCCTAATAATTTGGCAGAAAAGCTTGACTATGTGTCCAGGTTATTAGTATCACTAAACAACTGAAAACATAAGGCAAACAAAAAGGACGAAATTTATCATTATTTTTATTTAGATGCCTGACTCCTGAGCTTACAGTTCTTAAAGCATTACTGTTCCTAGTAGAACTGTAATAAAAACCAGGTAATCATGTAATACATAACCCAGGAAATTAAAGAAATTCCATCGGTCAGCAGATTGACTTTTCAGTTTAAACCCCGAAGGACGCATGCATCATTAAAGATTTGACGTTAGGTAAGAGTACCATCCCCAGCTGGCAAAACAGATGTATCACCATGTATTATGGCTGATAACAATTTGCTGATCATTTTACAGGTCACTTCTGATTTTGACAAGGCTCTCCCTTCAAACGATTCTAAACTAAGAAGAACAGAAACAGGGATGAAAACCTCACAGAACAATCCTATGAGATTCTCACATAATGAAATTACACCCAGAAAATACAGTCCTCTGCTCCCTACCCCCAGACAGGGCAAAATTTGTGACTTTTGGTAACCCCAAGAAGAGCAACCCTATGCTGGTTCCTACATGATTGCCACACGCTCCCTCTGCAGTTTGTCAGGGTGTATTTTGACAAAAGCCTGCCAACAAGTGTTCCAAAATTTTCCTGAATTGTGAATCCTCCTTTTTGTTTTGGGAATAAATATTTGAGGTAGAAACCAAGCCAGAGGTAGCTAAATGGCCAGACTCCCACTGACTTCAACGGAGCCAGCATCTATTCCTGTCATACAGTGATTTTTTTTTTTTTTTTCCCTGACTACACTAATAGCAGAGGTGTTTCAGCAAAAAGTAAGCCATCTTTGGAGCAAAGCTTGGATTTTTTTCCTCTCTGAGCACCACTCAACCACTGGTCATGATATGGTGGTCCGAAGGTATTACCACAATGCAATATTATAACAGAGTCGATGTTTACCATGCAATGATTACTTGCTATATATGACAAGGGGAAAAGGTTTTATCTCAGGAAAATGAGGATGGAAGCTAATTTTTTCTTATTCCTAGGAAATTACTATGAACTGCCTGAGCTTGACTGAGTGATGTCTTTAATATCTGATGTATTTGTACATCTTTATTTTCTCTTTCTTTCTTGCCTCTTTTCTTACCTATGGCCAAATATCTTTACACTCATACCAGGTCATGCTGAAAGCTGTACATTCGTGTGCTCAGCCTTTTGTATTGTGAATTGGTGATATGCTTCAAACTGGGTTTTTTTGCTTGTTTTTTTTTTGGTTGTTTTTTTTTGTTGTTTTTGTTTTTTTTTTTTTCTTTTGTATGGCTTGCACATTTATTTTAAAAGGAATATCTTTTTTTTCTCCACTAAAAATGGAAGCATGGAAGAAGATAGATTTTTGAATAACAGTATCAGTTCCTGTGGCTCTGTTCTAGGCTGTCAGATTTCTGCCAAATCATTTCATGCTAGCAGCATCTCAAGTGTTATCTGTGGCCAAGGGCTCCAGCACTTTCAGATTGACCCTTATTTTTCCCTCTGAGTACTTCTTGCCCTGTACAAAATTTTTATATGTCCTTTAATAAGATGAATATAACGTCCCATCATGCCATCTGGGCTTTATTCAGGATAGCTCGTCCATGTGGCATGTTTTTGCCTCACATCCCTTTCTCAATAGCACTGCCTCCAGATGTTTTCCCTAGGTTTTTCTCCTCTAGTTCTTGTTTTCACTGACCTCTAAATTCCCCTGAGTTTTTAATTTTATTTTATTTTGTTTTGTTTTAACTTTTGCTACACGCAAACCATACGGGGCACATTCTGAGGAAAGTAAACAGCATTGCTCCAAGGCTAATAACTTAGTTTTTTAAGTCTTGCATATAATAGAGTTATTGTGAAGTGGGAAAGGAACCCAGGTGTATGGCTTGCCAGGTGCTATGCTGGTGTGTTATCCTCATCATTTGCTGTTGCTCTGGGAGACAGTAAAACTTCTCTTGCAAATTCTGACGTGTGGGTTTATTTTTTCTTCTTTACAGCTGCACAACAGCTTAGAAAAATAATGCAGGTTCAAAATACTGGGAGCAGGGACTTGCAGAGTGGGATGTAAGTGGGAAATGATATTCTGGTACAAAAAACGTTGAAAACTACAGGCTTGTGATACCTTCCCACCTTATACCACCATACACATGTTCTCACTGTGAAATCAGTATTTTTAAATACATCTTTGGTAGATAGCATCACTTCCAAGTGAGAGACTTTCTGAAGGTTTGACTAAAACAACAATTCGGTCTGTTTCCACAAGATAACATGATCATATTTAGGAGAAAGCATTGGGAAAGCAGAACAGATTAATCCTAGATACCTAGATAATTTCTGGTTTTGGTCAGGATTCTCAGTTTTCTTCTGAAGAGCCATAACAATCCTCTTAACATCAACTGCTCAGAGAATATTTACATTGCAGTGCCTAGCTGAATGTATATCTATCTATTTCCACGAAGAAATATTTCACATCGGATCATCAGCTGTGATAATCATAGCCCAAACATTTTTTATCTAAAGAGCAACAAAGTTAAAACAAATCAAGTAAAAAAGAAAAAAAGATAAGGCAGACTTTTAGCTGATATAAATGACCAAGCAGCACAAAGCAGGATGCAGGATAAAAATTTCAAGTGCTGATGAGTCTAAACTCATTGAATGTTGACTTAGAGATGTATGGAAAAGAAAGCCATGGTAAAACTAAGGAAAAAAAATGCAATTAGCAGTAGCACATTCAGTTATTCAGTTATTATGAAAAAACAATGAGACTCATCTGCATAATTCAAGCTGTATCCCTCATAATAACTGGATAGTTTCCCATGTCCTAATATTATGCAGGTAGTTTTATTATACTGTGGGCAGAATCTACATCTATCACAATTCTGACATTGATGACTTAGGAAACCACACCCCGTGTGTACCCCATGTGTTCTCATGGCAGTTCTTATAGCTCAGGTTCAACTAAAAGAGTTAGGGCCATGGCTTCTACTGACCTATATATTTATTTTAGGAGAGGCTTATTGTGAGGGAAATACTCTGCTGAACTGTGAGTGACCTTTTCTGCCTCCTCTTGCAAATGTGTTATTGCTAGCTAGCGTACAAAATTAAAACCAGATATGCTCAGCTTTACGTGTACTCAGTGAAACCACGTACAGAACACAGTGCTTACTTTGCTCAGGATGATCTGCAACAGCAGTCCCTTTTTCCAGGGAAAAAACACATCAAACACCATTTTAAACTATCTTCTCATCTCTCTTTCAGTTTTCATGATGGAGAGGTGCTGTCACAGATGCTGATACATCTTCTTGGCACTATTTTGATACTTAACTGATTACAGAAAGAGTTGAATGTTCAATTTTCCTCCAAGAAACAGACTAAAATGTAATTCTGAAAATATTAAAAGTGCAGTAAAATGTACTGAATGTTAACTATAGTATACACAATACAAAAATTTGTGGTTTAGCAGCAACTGTTGTCTCTGTTTCTGAAAATAGCATGATGGAGTTAGTGAACAAAGATGGTCTATAGCTATTCTTTAATAATAAATATAAGTAGATATTATATCTATATTTATACAGCCCGTTCTACCTAATTCACTGCACAAACACGCAGCACTGTAAGTCGGATAAGTAGGTAGCAAACAGATGGAATGGTAAGATTCATTCTGGTATGTATCATGTCTGAAATCCTTTCCATTAGCTGCATTACTGTTCCAACAGTAATGGGACTTTCTTCTCCCTTTCTATGTCATGGTTGGTTAATCAATAAGAGAGTTAGCAGTAACGTAAAATTTCAGAGACATACAGAGACCACCTCTTACAGGTAACAGAGCTTTCATGGAAATCTTTCTCTCCTGACTGTAGAGAGAGCTAATTTTCTTAGAGTTACCCTGAGTCTAGATACCACAATTGTTGTGAGAATTAAGTAGAATGAATATGGTCCATGATCCCTAACTGCAGGACTTAAACTATGACAGTTCAAATTGCCTCCTTTCCATACCAAGTTATGCTTACCAAAAAAATAGCTTATATCTCTGCAAAAATGAGATTATTACCAGAGAAAAATCTAATAAGTGCAGTCTATAAGACTAACAGGAAAGAGGTGATGATATGTGTATTTTTATTCAGCTGGGCTGTACCTTCACTGTACTAAGTCATAGAATTTTCTCTTCAGGAAAAACTGGTTAGGATGGTTGTGTGATGATGGGTAAGGTATAAAAGTATCCTCAGAATAAACAAAATGAGACAAAAAAAGCAAATAAAACTAATAATGTTAGTTTTATGTGAATGTCTTGTTCTTCACAGCTTTCAAATGGAAGGGTTGTACTTATTCTCGGGTATAAATTATGGATGTTAACAGAAGCTGCATATACCTCAGCAATGAAATAACACTTGTATTTGTTATGTAGTCCTTGTTTATCTTTCACTGTTTCAGAAGTTCTTAATCTAGTTTCAGTACTGCATTGCGTTTTCTTCAGCTCACTAGGTTGGCCATCGAAAGACACTAGAAAAGAATAATAATTTTAAAATGTTTCATTCCTAAAATAATTTCTTTAGTGATCATCTGAGATCTCTTTCATTATTACTCCACAGGCATTGATCCTTGTTAATAACAAAATCAGCAAAATAAGCCCATTAGCTTTTGCTCCTCTGAAGAAACTGGAAAGACTTTACCTGTCCAAGAACAACCTGAAGGAGCTCCCAGAAAACATGCCGAAGTCTCTTCAGGAGATACGGGCTCATGAGAATGAGATCTCCAAGTTGAGGAAAGCTGTCTTTAACGGACTGAATCAAGTGATTGTCTTAGGTACGAGCATGAGAAATTATAACAAAATCGACTCAGTGTTTTTTCAAGATGTTGTTTTTAGTTCAATTGATGATTTTATGTAGAAAGCCAAGAAATGCTCCAATAAATTGTACCTCCACATTAGCTTTGACCTGAAGGATATAGGTATCTACACTGCAGCACAGCTCACGACCATGTTTTGTTGGCAGAACTAGGCACCAATCCAATCAAGAGTTCAGGCATTGAAAACGGAGCTTTTCAGGGGATGAAGAGGCTCTCCTACATCCGTATCGCGGACACCAACATTACTAGCATCCCAAAAGGTAAGAAATTCAATTCATATTTCAGAGATTTGCAGAGGTGTAATGTAGTCAGCTGGAGAAAAAATTATTATGGAAGCCTTTTGAGTCAGTCCTTAGAGTAGAGTATCCATTGCTTGACTACTTCATTTTTTGGTCAGTTGGCTGTTATTGGTTTGGAAAATTTTGGTTTTCTGTTATGAGAAACTCCACAAGAGTTGCACTGCCAGAAGTAAGCCGTTTTATGTTATTTTGCTTTTCTTGTCTCATAGTTGAAATATAAAGTGGAAGAATGTTTTCAATCTCCAACCCTGGTTGGTAAGCCTGATCAGCATTACACAGATGTAAACTCATGTAGAATTAACTGAAGTTCTACAAGCGTAAAATCAGCCCTCCACAAACCCACAGATTTGAAGCTGAAAATACTATTCCTATGCAAAACAGAAGTATTTGCTATTTTTAAAAATACTTCATTGCAAATTGCTACAGAATAAGGGCAACTTCCATATAATCTATTAAAACAAAACAAAACAAAACAAACCGGAATGGTTCCAATCCAGAGGAAATTATATTCAATTTATTCATACTTCAGCCAGCAGATTGTTTTGAAATAGCTGAAAACTTTTTGAAAGTTAATAGTAGTCATTATTTCTTTCTTCCCACATTTCCTGTTTTGGATGTTCCTTTGAGGGATCTCAGATAGTTGAAATATTTTTTTTTCCTGACAAACAGAATTTTCAAACTAGCATGCACCCTACCTAAAAGAACATTAAAATTATTTTGCCTCATCCTTATGATGTCATTTTTCTCATTTTTCAGCAGAAAATGGTACTAAATATCTAGGTGCCAAATGTTTGTAGGTTTATGTATGTGGATAGTCTGGCTAAAATAAAGGGTCTTTATCTTACACTATTATATATGTCCCATTTATATAATCATGAAGGCTAGAATTCATATCTGAGAAGAAATTCATTTGGCTATTTTTTCAGAATGAACTGTTCTATGATGACCTTAGGAGCTTGGTCTTATTTCATCTCAAATAAATTGTTACTAGCTGTTTTCAGTTTCCCTGATTGTGCAAGTGTCTTGTTTCATTCAGTGAATTGTTCTTGGCCATGTCTAGTAAAAATCTTTTGGTTACTGTAAAAGAGCCTTAGTATAACACAAGTCCATTAAAAAAAGATAATAACCCAGTTTTATCAAAAGTAATTTGATGGTGTTCTCTTCCAGGCCTTCCCCCATCCCTTACTGAACTTCACCTTGATGGTAACAAAATCAGCAAAATTGATGCTGAAGGTCTGTCTGGACTCACCAACTTGGCGAAGTAAGAATTCATTTTTATTTTTCACATAAAATATTAGTTGAAATTGTAACCACCACACACACAATTAGAAAACATCATTCGAGGCTTCATAAGCATTATCGTCATTGAAGCAGTACATAACTTAGCAGGAAAAGCTTCTAAGGACTTGTGTATTGACTTAAGAGAACAGAACACTTTTTTTTTTCCTAACAACACTTTCCAGCTGTTTCCAATCATGAGTGAAGTATGCCCAGGACAACGGTTTCTTTGGTTTAAAACAAAAAGAAAAAAAAAAAAAAAAGAAAGATAAAGAAAGCAATTAGATTTTTTAATTATGTCATGCTCCTTTCATTGTATTTCCATCCTTGGTTTATGCAGTTTTCTTGGGACACTGCATTGCTCAAGCAATTTGCTCTGGAAACTGAGGGAAAAAGCACATGGGAACCAAAACTGCTTGCAACAGTGTTTCCTTTGTTTCTCAAGAAAGTCAAGCCTGCAGTGAGTCCAGGAACATGATGAAAAAAAAATCACACAATATAAATGAAAAAGTGTCATTTTTCCAGAGTGGTTGTACCTTGCTAATCTGTGAATATATTGTTGAATACGTTTCTCTAACTGTAGGAAAATGTAAGGAGAATTCCCAAAGAACAGCTATAGATATACAGAATTATTTGTGAATTAATTCACATTAGATGACATGCTAAAATAGTAAAATGGTCCTTTACTACAAGATATTTTAACACTGTGATACTATAAAACTTTTGTATGCAAATTGAAGTGTCTAAAAATAGAAGTGTCTGAGACTGTTTATCAGATTACCGGATCTGATTCCTGGATTTTCATCTTAGTCATTCTGCTAGTCATAATGAAGGCAGAAAACAGAAATCACAGAAAGATTATTGAGCAACAGGAGTTAATTTTACCACTCTTTGTAGTAGCTTGAACAGCAGTTTAGTGCAATGAAGTATAAAGTAACTTAACATGTATTTTGAATCAGGCAGTTCCAAGTGATAAAGCTTAGAACAGTTTTCTAGAGCTTGTAAAATAAGACACTTCAACTCATGTTTGTTTTCACATTTGATCTCAGGTTCATCCCTGCTCAAAAAAAAATCTGCTCCTGGGTTTATTGAAAAAATAAAAATACCATAATTATGGGTCTGGGGACTATGAAGCAGTTATTGTTTATGACAGAGGCTTAGTATAAAATGTAGCATCCTCCAGAGAAATGATAAAGAAAACTTCCAAAACCGAAACAAATTCATAACTACTCAGGTAGAGAGTAATTTACTTTACTGGAGGAAGGAGGTGTGAGGTAGACCAGCTGTCCTGCAGATGATAGATTTTTTTCTGCTTTTTCACATTCACACTTGGAAAACACTACAGGCAACATCACATGGACAATATTGTTGGAAGTCCTTCTTAAGACATAAAATTTTATGCAGCAAGTGCTGACGGACTACTGCTGGGCTGGTTCTGTTGTGGCCGTACTGTATGGAGAAACAAGATATGCTGTTGATTATGGTGTGGAAATGTGGAGCTGCTCAGAGCAGGCACCAAGTTTTAAACTGCTCTCTGGCCTGTGCTTAAGCAGGCAACATAGTCAGAAATCTTCTTTTGCAAAGTTGAAAAGAAGGCAGAATACAGATTGGCAAAAAAGGAGTGCATTGGACATAACAGAGCAAACAGATAAAGAAAGGAGGGAGCTATAGGAGAGCTCCAGGACAGCATATGGGGTAAATCTGAGGGGCAGCATGCCCCTTGTGCCACAGAAACACGTTATGAAAAAATGGCTTTTATTTACACATCCAAGTCTTCATGAATATTAATACGGGGTCAGACCGCTTTCCTCCTGGATCATGTCAACTCATGCTCGACAGCCTCATAGCTGCCCTAAAGCACAGTTAGACTTTGAGAAACAGGCCATTTTTCTGACTCTATTAAGGTGTTTTGAACTGTAAGCAGTTCCATGCAAGAGCTCAATGTAGATCTACTGCTCATTCCCTTTTGAATCTTTGAGTTCTAGCAGACCGCCAATATTTGTCCTTTTTGTTTGTTTGTTTTACTCATAAAATTACCCTTAAGTCTTTTGAAAGTCTTTATATAGGGCGGCAATGGAAAAAAAAAAAAAAAATCTCATGTATGTAAATCGAATAAAGACTTTGCTAGTTACATGCAGGAATGAACTCCACAAGAGGACATACACATTACACAACTGACATCACTAATGTCTGTATCCTATTAAAGTTTACTGAAAAGATCTAACTCCATACAGTGGAAGTTGCATCAAGCCCAGAATAATGATGAGGTTGAGCAGCATGAAGTTTGTTAAAAAATGTGGAAATGGGCCAGCAGGGATGTTGGAGACAAAAGATGGTGAAAAAGTATTTGAGAATTTCTTAAATTTTTAGATATGCTTTTGATGATGCTCTTCAATGATTTAGAACACTGTGACTAGATCAGCTAAAACACTGGAAAAATGTTACCTATTCACTAATATAAAAGGAAGTAATATGTCAATATATCAAGCAAGAATGATTTTTCAAATTCTTCCTTTTTTCTTCCCATGGGAAAGAGAGATGAAGACCATATTCTTTCCTAACACTCTTAATCACCCCGTATTTTACCCACTAATACTGACTTATTTCATTTGTAAACATAGCCTCAAGTGACTGGGAGTTTGTTTCTAACACATTTAGATGAGATGTAATTACATATAATTTCACTGCTTATGGGAGTTAGATCCATTTTTCTACAGACTCCTCCAATTTTATTCTTTCCCAAAAAAATTTCCTGCAGAGTTGGATCTTGTCCATCCTTATAGTGTGTAAAGGGGTTACTTCTGCTTCAACAGACCAATATGAAAGTCAGACCTGCTTTTTTTCATGCTCGTCTCCCTAGCTGTGACACATCTGCTTGTAGACCTGCATATGTAGCAAGCATCCGTTTAGATACATGTCAACCAAGAACTTATAGCCTTCTGCCAAAATGTGGGGTTTTTTTTCCAGATTCTCTTAAAGACATTCACCATAAGCACTCATCACTGAAGTCTTTTGTAGACATTCTGTAGATCTTCAGACCAAATTGCTCTGCAGAATCAAATCCCCCAAGCTTTCCTAAATCTTGATGTATACTTCTTAAAAGGAATTTTGTTCTAATAAATTTTAAATGAAAATTCTTCCTGATCAAATTCTAGCAAAGATATGGGATACTGTGAAGTGATTTCTGAGTGAAATAAATCCTTGTTGATGTCACTGGGAGATCTTATTAAGCTCTCTTTTGTCATTTAATAGTTTGACACCATTGCAATGTTTAAATGAATATGATGTGACTATTTGTATTATATGTAATACTAGTTAACAAGGTTTTACTTTGACCATTTATTTTTAAAAGGAAAATTATAAAATGCACTTCCATTTCTGGACAGTATTGTTTCTGGAAGCATCTCTGTCATAAAGATAAAACAAGAAGTAGTTCTGTGATTTTATATTAGGTCCAGATCCTGATTTTTGAAGCTGGCACAAGCCACAAAGAATTACAAGTAGTAGATTATTGTGAATAAGACTTTCTTTAAAAGTAGTCATCCATAGCAAATTATTTTATCACAAGGATTCTGACTACATATATTAAATTCTTGAATTGATTCAGTTACTAATAAATCTCAGAGCATTTTTTCCCCTCAAAAATAAAAAAGGTTGCTTAAAGTAAAAAGATAAAGCAAACTAGATGAAGTCGGTTTAGCCTTTATAGAAATAATTTTCTCAAAAGACAACACTCCTGATGATGACAACTCCTGTGGAATTGCCACTGGATTCCTTACTGCAGCATAAAGCTCTGAGAGCCTGTTGACAAAATTTTGTAGTTTGATAATTGCAAACCAAAATAGCATTAACACAGAAGTACACACATAGGATCAGATTTTCCAAACTGGACATAAATTGCACTAGTAAACCCAGAATGTGGAAGCATAAAGCAGGAAGGATGATTTTGTGATGAAACATCTGGACTGGGACCTAGGAGAAACGTGTAGGTCCCACTTCTGTGTCCTGCTGA